TTCCCCATCTCTGCAGCTTCTGCTGCTGCCGCTGGGTCCTAGCAAGCAACCCTTTCTTCCCTGGGCTCAGGCAGTGTGCTGTGGCCTGGCAGCCAACAGCTTCTGGGCTGGTAGCTAGGAACTACTTCACTAAGGGCTTGCCTACATGGAGAGTTAGCATGTGGCATGTCACTGTATTAAACTGTAGAGCACTAACTAGATGTATGGACCCTGTCATCGTGCACTAAAATTTCTGTAGTACTGTCAAGAAGGCGTCAGAGCGCACTCGGAAACTTTTAATGCACTAGTGCTAGGTCCAAACGTTTAGTTAAGTATGCAGGAAGCTAGTGCAGTGTAGATTCGTACTGTAGTTTGTCATGTTGTTACCCTAGGACGCAGTAACGATTAATTTAGACATCTGATTAGGCATGCCCTGACACTCGGAGATGTTAATTGTCCCAAGTCCCAGAAGAAGGGATCGCCCGAGGCTGTGTCTATCACCGGTTATGGGTTTTAAACAAATGAGTCGGAGACAAGATATGGGGCCAAACCATATATTGTATAAATCTGAAAAGGTTAACACGTAAATATCAATTTGTCCACCCTATCCCAGAAGAAAAAGATGATAGAATATCCCCAATATACAAGATATATACATTACATCCACTCGATTGAATAAATAGGTCTCGGGGCTCACAACCTCAATGCTCTGGCTAATAGGAAGCCTCCGCAGAGGAACGATGAGGAGATCCTTCGATGATACTCCGGATCATCCGGCCTGGCAGGTGCGGTTGTCTGGAGCCTGTAACGAAGGGCCTTCTGCTCTCCACGTGGTAATCCAATAGGGCGTCGAGTAAACCCTCAGTAGCCAACCCTGCGCTGGGCTATCGTTTACACGGGACTTCTCCACAGGAAACTAATCCCACTGGCAGGGCAACCACTACCTACACCCACATGGTCACACTATTCAATCACTCTTCCATACATTTAATGACAAACAGGAAAACATACCACTAGCATACCTACACAATGACACACGCTGAACTCAGAAGACCGAACCCGCCCTGAATCACAGCTAGGGTATTTATAGACAAAAAGGTGGGAAAATGTTAGTAGGGCTGAGTGCAACACCATTTGGGCAGTGTGCAAAGCTTTTTGGATCGTGTGCAGCTCTTTTGGAATGGAGTGCAAAGCATTTGGTAATGAGTGCAACTCTGTAAGAGGCAGGAATCTTTAGACAGAGAAACCCCTCGCCCCACTCCTTTGGTTAGGCTGACAGGATTATATTCCAACAAGGCTGACCCACAGACTCCATTTTAAAATCCAAATAAACTCCAGCCCAATTATATATTTCCATAGATTACAGTGGTAACAATGTACTAACTCTGTGTAGACAAGTCTTTAGATCCAAATATTGCCTTAAGATTCTCTGTCCATCCTGTGGTCAAACCAGTTATCTTGCTAACTTGATGTTCATTCATGCGCTGTCATTTTTACACAATAAAGTCACATTGCAGGCAAGACCTGTTACTTTTTAAACACTCCAAAACTGTTTAACTGAACAGATGGCAATGAATCTGAAAGTGATTAAAATTTTCAAAAGTGGGTTGAAGCTTATATTTCATTGGAAGTCATTGGTACTTAGGCACATAAAATACTTCTAAATGTTTTATGTGCTCCTCTTTTTTTTTTTATGGTCACCTTTTTGAGTTCAAGAATATATGTAGTCAAATCATTTGAAATCCTAGCTATGATCAAATGATGATGGATTTTAACCAGACTGGTAGAGTATATAACACTTACCAAGAAGCCAGTCACTGAAGAAAACTATTTGACGTTTTTTATTGAGTACTTTCTATAATAATTTCATTCATATAATATTCTTTGAGATGTTTAATTAAATGTTAGAATTTCATTTAGCTCTTTATCATTCACACTAACCTGAGTATGCAATGAACAGATTTAAAATACTTTTTAAAGAGTATGAAGGATAATAATATTTTGACTTCCTCAGCTTGAGATCTAAACTTATGTGAAGTAAATATGTTGTATTTTAAGGTAATTAAAGATTCAAAAAGCTGTGCAATCCAATTTGCAGCTTTACAGTCTGCTGAACATTGTTCTTCAAGGATATAGCTAGGAACTGGGTCATCCTTGTAATACAAAATGTGAAATCATTAGAAAGAATTAGCATAATGTTTGTTTGGAAGTACATATACAACTGAAAGGACATAAAATGAGAGGCAAGGTATGATTTAGCATAAATTGAATTAACTCTAAATAAATTGAATTGAATGTTTAGTCAGTTTAGATAAATTGTAGCTGGGATTTAGTTGTCTGTTTGATGGTTCATGCATTTGAGAGTAAAGCTCAATACTCTGACTTTGCCCAGAGCAAATTACAGTATCCTATATTGTGCTTCTTGGTTGCCACACTTGAAGCACTTATGGAAATGGAAATAACTGCTTGACTAATCAGTGAGTGCTACATCACAATGTGTATAACACTCAGGTATAGTTCTGAGACCTTTCAACTATAATGAACAAAATCAGGAGGAGCTGGATTTGCTGCTCTGCAGGATGTGGTGCTTTGAAGTATTTTTTCTGTTCCCTGAAGTGAATTTGAGGTTCATCTCCTAAATCGTCTCCTCTAATTTTTTTTTCTTGCGGGATAACGGTGACATCCTGCTGCCCTCTGCCCTCAACTGCGTGGCTTCCTTCTTCCCCAGTGAGGGAGGCCGTGGCAGGGCAGAGTCCAGTGAAACTGGTGGATCCGCCCCCCTGTCAATGGTGAGCAGCCCCAAGCCAGCTGGACCCGGCAGCGCCAAGGAGAAGTGTTTCTCCAGGAAGCTGCTGTTCCCAGGACAGGTGGATCCGGATTGGTTAGTGCACTCATCAGCTTCCTGAGCTGGGTGCTCAAGACCCTCTCCACCCTGTCACACTACAGCACTGCACCAGAGGCAGCACTGGGCCCTTTCTCCCCCCCCACCAGAGGCGGTCCGCAGCCTGGGTAACTGCTTCTAGGCATGGCTGCTGCAGAGCACCAAGCCAAAGCCGCTACCCAAGATGGGGGAGTTGGGCAGGAGCTGGTGCCCCAACTCATCCCGCTGCGGAGGGAGTGCAGGGGAGGGGAGAAAGCCCTCCTTCCTCCCCCATGCATTTGGCACTCTAGTGCTCATATTCAAGTTAGCATGCAGGGTGCTGGGTGGGCTGGCAACAGGGATTGGGCTGCTCTGCACTAGCAGCAGGAGCCGTGTGGAAGTGGAACTATGCAGCAGCCTGCTCCAGTCTATTGTCATCTCCTAAGCCACCCTGTATTGGGACTTGGCTGCTCTGCTTCCTGCTGCTGAAGTGAAGCAGCTGGGCTGGCTTGGGAGATGGCAGCAGAACAGAGACTACTTTGTAGCTTCACTTCCTTGCAGCTCCTACAACCATGCTGAGTGTGTAGGACTGGACCTTTGCTTCTGCTCCGTGCCAGGCTCCTGATAATCCCCAGGCCACATCCTGAATAGTTTGGGATGGAGGTGAGCAGGGGCTGGACTTGGGGGAAGGTTACAGACATCTCCCCAGAGCCGCAGGGACCAGGAACTCGTGTGCCAGCAGCTGTGTGCAGGTTGGATTGTGGAATTGCTTGGATGGCAAATGGCCCCCGACTTAAAGAAACATAAGGTTTTGGTTGTGCTGGGAAAACAGGATTCCCTAGAATGGGATTGCTTCTCATAAAATCAAGCAGTGCTTTGTTACAAGTTGCTGCACTAAGTGCTAGGCAGGTGAAAGGGGCTGGACTGTCCTAATCTCAAGCCTCCCATCCTCCAGATACCCTTTTGGGAGTGCGGGCGGGGCGGGGGAGAAGGTAGGGGAGCAGAGCACCTCCCCCCCACCCCGATATGTACTGGACGTTGCTTTCTGTTCTCCCTCATCACGGTCAGGGAGCAAGGGTAAAGCGCAGTTTGCTGCGCTCCTCTCCCTATATATAGGGAGGATGGGGCAGATGAGCTGTGCATTTGGCTTTTGCTACCTCACAGGAACAGGAAGGGTGACAGCCAGCAGTTTCAGCCCCCTTTGTGCTTTGACATACATACCCAAGCTCCTGCTCTTTTTTCCTTAATTTTTGCAAAAATATCAACATTTTAAATAAAGCATGTACATCTTTCATTTAATTTTCAAAATAAAAATGGTTAAGGACCTGAGCAATGCCAAGGTACATCTATTAGTATAGTATAATGGAGTCCATTGGTTCACCACTCCTAACATGTTGCTCATTAGATCTTATGCAGAAAATGGTCTCACTAGTTTGGGATGACATGATTTAGTTGTAGCAATTTGGTTATGGGTGGATCTGCGTATCTTATTCTTGAATGCTGTGTTACGTATATAATTTTAAAGTGGACTAAAGTAACCTATCTAATCAAGTTGCTAATGCCATCTTTAACATGGATCAAAGTAAAAGTGAGAGTTCTTAGACAAGCAAACTAAAATGAAAGTACTTCGTGCATGTTAAGAAATCAAGGCTATTACACTTTTTATTAAACTCCTAAAATGCAAAAGAAATTATGAGTTTTAGGTGCTATCTAGAATACATTTTTGTAATCTAACTTTCTTTTTCTCCAAGGTCCTTGATGCCTCAACGCTTAGTTTTGGTACTCGAGTAAAATGGTTTGCCATATGTTTTGCAGTTGGCATTGCCTGTTCTATTCTTGTAAGTGAATTTTTTTCTACTTATTTTGAAGACGCTGTGGTGGGACCTCAGTTCTTAGTTGTCTGGGCCTGAGCCTGTGGAGTGCTGAGCACCCTCTTCCTATTGTTTCAATTAGAATCAAGGGCATTCAGTACCATACTGCATCTGACACTTTATAATCCACATTATTGGTCGTCTTTCTTTATTTACAATAAATTGTCTTATTATGTAGCATTTTATATTAAAACTAACTTAGAGTAACCAAGTCACAGTTGAATAAAATTCTGACTAGTTTTTTTTTTTTTGTCTGCTTGATAACTTACGTTAAGATCACTGTCGTTGGTATAATTGATTATTTTTCTAGGTCATGTTAATTGTTAAAATGAATGAAAATAATTTATACCACTACATTTGAATTAACCTGTATACTATGACATGGGGAGATGGTGTCATGCTTTGAGACAGGCAAATTGAGGCAGAACCTTTTAAAACAAAACCCTGTGATATACCTCACAATTTCTTGTTTGTCAAGCATAACATTTTCAGAAGAGATTGCTAGTTTTGTTTGCTCATCTTGAGATGCTTTTTGTCTTGATTTATCACATGTGCTGTATGCCACTGATCCGGTTGACTTCCCTAGCATAGTTGCTCAGCATTTCTGAAATTAAGTCAAAGAGATCTCAAGTTGGGCATCTTAAATAAATGGTAATATTTGAAAACAGGTGCATATGGTGAGAGATCTTCAAATTGTGTACCATACAGGCACACTTAGAACTGCTATTTTGTAAGCATTTGCACCTTAATTTAACACATCCATTTAATGTGTAAAACTCTCTAGATGAGTATAGTTCTTGTGAGTGTTGGTGCATAGTTGTGATGTCACCCAAAACCCACAACTAACCAGTTGAAATGTAGCTTGCTGACCAGTTAGGCTTAAGTCAACAGAGGCTGTTGCAATCCCACACTGCTCCCTCTCAAACGGTTTTTTTTTTTTAACTGGCTCTCCTGGCAGCCCAGCTTGCTGGCGCGCTGCTGCCTGTGACTGAGCTGCTCGTTGTGAGGGAGGCAGGTGTGAGAAGCCTCTCCAATTTCAATTCAAATGGTGAGAGGAAGGTGTTTTATAGAGTACTTAAAGTAGATGTAATGCAAGACAAAGTAGTAGTCAAGTCATTTATATTTAAAAAAAAAGATATTTGCTAGTAGTAAAAGCTCTTGGCCTGTGTTTTATGGAAGGCCATCAAGAATGGGACACGGAGAGAACTACGGTAGTGCAGGCATGCAAAGGGAATCAAAGATTCAGAGGTGGCAGAATGCTACTATAGTGATCTGTGCAGCTATCAGTCTTGTATTTAATCTGATAGTGTACAAAATAGTCATTCAATCTGAGAATTATCTGGGGTGCTGATGCTTAACTCAAATTCACTATATGTGAAAGAAAACGTAGAATCAAATGAAGTAAAAACCTTAAATGAGTCAAAATGTTCCATAGAATCTCTATGGTTAGAAACTCTGTGCTCCAATAATAAGAATATAGCAGTAGGGATATATTATCAACCACCTGATCAGGACAGTGATAATAACTATGAAATGCTAAAGGAGATTAGAGAGGCTATCAAAATAAAAAAAACTAAGTAATAGCGAGGGATTTCAACTATCCCCATATTGACTGGCTACACATCATATCCGGATGGAATGCAGAGAGAACTTTTCTTGTTACATTAAATGACTGCTTCTTGGAGCAGCTGGTTCTGGAACCCACAAAATGAGAGGCTGTTATTGATTTAGTCCTAAGTGGAACATAGGATCTGGTTCAGGAGGTAGATATAATTGTACCACTTGGAAATAGTGACCATAATAATAAAATTCAACATCCCAGAGGTGGGAAAAACACCTCAGCAGCCAGCACTGTGGCATTTAATTTTAGAAAGGGGAACTACACAAAAATGAGGAAGCTAGTTATACAGAAATTAAAAGGTACAGTGACTAAAGTGAAATCTCTACAAGCTGCATAGAAACTTTTCAGACATCATAATAGAGGCCCAACTTCAATGTATACCCCACGTTAAAAAACACAGTAAGAGAACCAAAAAAGTGCCACTGTGGCTTAACAATTAGGAAAAGAATCCGAGAGAGAGAAAAAGACATCTTTTAAAAAGTGGAAGTCAGATTCTAGAGAGGAAAATAGAAAGGAGCCATAAACTCTGTCAAATTAAGTTTAAAAATAGAAGAAAAGCCAAAAAGGAGTTTGAAGAACAGTTAGCCAAAAACTCAGAGTAAAAGTAAAAATGTAAGTACATCAGAAGCAGGAAGCCTGCTAAACAACCAGTTGGGCCCTCGGATTATTGAGATGTTAGCACTCAAAGATGATCAAGTCATTGTGAAGAAGGTAAAAGAATTCCTTGCTGCAGTCTTTACAGTTGCAGACGTTGGGGAGATACCCAAACCTGAGCCATTCTTTTTAGGTGACAAATTTGAAGAATTATCCCAGACTGAGGTGTCATTAGAGGAGGTTTTGGAACACATTGATAAACTGAACAGTAACAAGTCACTGGGACCAGATGGCATTCACCCAAGAGTTCTGAAATAACTCAAATGTGAAATTGTTGAACCATTACTGTGGTTTGTAACCTATCCTTTAAATCAGCTTCCATACCTAATGACTGAAAGATAGCTAACATGACACCAATGTTTTAAAAGGGTTCTAGAGGTGATCCTGGCCATTACAGATGGGTAAGTCTAACATCCGTAACAGGCAAATTAGTTGAAACCAAAAAATAAAATTGAGACATGTAGATGAACATAGTTTGTTGGGAGAAAGTCAGCGTGGTTTCTGTAAAGGGAAATCATGCCTTATTAATCTTCTAGAAGCTTCAGGGGGTAGCCGAGTTAGTCTGTTATGGGGAAAAAAACAACAAATGGTCTGGTAGCACTTTATAGACTAACAAAACATGTAGATGGTCATCTGAAGAAGTGGACTGTACCCACGAAAGCTGATGATACCATCTACGTGTTTTGTTAGTCTATAAAGTGCTACAGTTCTTTGAGGGGGTCAACAAACATGTGGAGAAGGGGGGCAGGTCCAGTGGATATAGTATACTTAGATTTCTAGAAAGCCTTTGACAAGGTCCCTCGCCGAAGGCTCTTAAGTAAAGTTGTCATGGGATAAGAAGAAAGGTCCTCTCATGGATTGATAAGTGGTTAAAACACAAGAAACAAAGGTAGGAATAAATGGTACATTTTCAGAGTGGAGAGAGGTAACTAGTGGGGTCCGCCAAGGGTCTGTCCTGGGACCAGTCCTATTCAACTTATTTATAAATGATCTGGAGACGGGTAAATAGTGAGGTGGCAAAATGTGCAGATGATACCAAACTGTCAAGATAGTTAGGACCAAAACAGACTGTGAAGAGCTTCAAAAAGATCTCTCCAAACTAACTGATTGGTCAACAAAATGGCAAATGAAATTTAATATTGATAAATGTAAAGTAATGCACATTGCAAAAAATAATCCCAATCATACATATGATATGATGGGGACTAATTTATCTACAACTACAGGCAGTCCCCGAGTTACGCGGATCCGACTTATGTCGGATCCGCAGTTACGAACGGGGCCGTTCCTCTCCCTGGTCTCCAGCAGACCAGGGAGAGGAAGCAAAGCGGCGGAACACGTGGGCAGCGGACAGAGCTGTCCGCTGCCCACGCGCTCCGCGGCTTGGCTCTGCTTTGCCCCCCCCTCC